CCACCCAAAATGAGTTTGAAAGCCCATTACATTTTTTAAATCCCCTATCAAAGGTAAAGAAAAGAAAGAAGAATGAAAGGAAAAGAAAGTTCCAATTTAATGCTATATTCAAAACTTACAGTGGCATTTAAATCTAGGCCATGTCTATATATAAATAGACCTCCCTTTACTGCTGACCATTCACTGCATTAATGCATATATAAGTTATTCATCCGAAAAGAGACATCAGAAGGAAAACCCACTTTCCATTCCTTACCTTAAGAATTCCAAATCCATCAACTTTGCCAGTGTCTCATTTAATCCATTCTGCACAAACTTTCTCCTAATGAGGCCTTCTTTGCTAGTCTCTCTCCTACTTTTGTCCATTTTCTTTTATGATGCTCAAGGTATGGCACACACACACATTTGATTTCTTGTAGCTGTATGTTTTATAGGATACTGATTATTGTTGTTATTTTTCTTAAGGTATACGCTTGGAAAAAGGAATTTTTGCAGCTGGGAAACATAAGATCCAAGTGAGTATTCAGTTCTTCATTATTTTTGCTCTNTCTTAAGGTATACGCTTGGAAAAAGGAATTTTTGCAGCTGGGAAACATAAGATCCAAGTGAGTATTCAGTTCTTCATTATTTTTGCTCTTCATGAACGAACTTATTTCTGAATTCTTCGAATTTGATACTCTTCAATTCCTCTGCATTCTGAAGAAAAAACATTTCTTGTGTAATGCAGAAGGAAGGTGTTGTTGAAGGGNCTTCATGAACGAACTTATTTCTGAATTCTTCGAATTTGATACTCTTCAATTCCTCTCCATTCTGAAGAAAAAACATTTCTTGTGTAATGCAGAAGGAAGGTGTTGTTGAAGGGGTCAATAGCTGCACAGATGGGCATTGTTCAGGTACCATGAGAAGAAGATTGTCTAAAGAATCCCATCACTGGTTACCAAGGATTCATGAAGATTACTGTGGACCTAGGATTCACAACCCCAAGCACCATTAAATTCTCTCTCAAGAAAACCTTTTTTCCTTTGGTTTTGAAATTTTTTTGAAGTTCCTTCCAGTAATAGGGGGTTCAGAAGATTCAAACCCATGAACATGTGTTCTGCAAAGCAACTTTGTAGCTTCTCTTAGTGTTTAACTAGTTAGATTTTGTGTTCATGACAGTCCAAAGAAAAAAAGATTATATGTTCATGTTGACATTGTCTAAGTCTTTTGTCATCACATTTATCAGCCAAGTTCTATGAAAAGAGGGTAGTCTAATGCACAAGACTTTAGTTGTACGTTACTGATGTCAATTTTATATTTTAACACGAACACAAGACGAAACAATTGAGTCCCTTGTAAAATATCTCAAGTGGCTTTCTATTATTTTGCAGGGCTGATTAGAAAACTTATGGCCAAAACCAATTCTACTTCTAGGACTATCACCACTTCAAAGGTTGGTTTTCTTGGGAAAAAAAATGTCTTAGCTTTTCTCCCCAAGGAGAAAATAGAAACCCCGTCTTTTCCCTTGTTTCCCTCACATAATTCTACGCTTTTACAGAATGGCAAGAATGAAGGAAATAGAGCTGGAGGACTAGGTGGAAAAGAAGAAAATTTATCAGTTAGTTCGTCGCCGGATTCCGGTCACGGGGAGTCCTCTCCCGAGCACTATCCAGACAGTTTAGACATAGCAGGAATGGATTATTCTCTTGCAAGGAGAAAAGCTCCAATACACAATTGATTGCTGGGAGCACCTAGACAAGTAATAACAACTGTTTTCTAGAAGGATGAAAGAGAATAGAAGTATTGGACAGCATTACCAAAATGCTGCCGTTTTTTAGGGTTAGGAAGATTTTGTATATAGTATATTTTATCTTTGTTCTTAGATTATTATTTGATGATTGAGTCATAAGTACCTGGGTGCTAATTAAAATTAGTGACTAACCTTTGTAACATATATAATACTACATAGATAGAAGCACAATAACGTCACTCAATTCCTCTATTTTTGAAAAATCATTTAACAAACGTGTATGTATATGATCAGCATAAGAAAAACACAGTTTTTTAGTCTCTTTTGCATCAGACAGGGAAACATAGAGAGGTCAGCAAAACTTCAAACTCTATAAACAACACAATTATAGTTGCCTCACAAATGAAATACATGCATCTAGTTTGCAAATGCTATTGTTCGAGAAAGACTAAATCTTCGATTAAATAGTGATATCATGTTAGTATTGATTAAGGGATATTATAACCCAATAACAAGGTTTGCGAATTATTAATTTCACGTAAATATAAATTTCATTTAAATCGATAATGGGCTGTGTCAAATATGCATGAAGTGTATAATCTGCATTTTTTGGTGTCTTGTTATTGAATCGTAATATCACCTATCCCCAAATGTGCTCACTAGAGAAAACGAATCCATCTTGCCATCCTCTCATCTGCTTCCTAACCAGTGGGATCGTATTAACCCTTTGGTTTATAAGAGGAAATGCAGTAGATGAGATTGTAATATCACCTAGATCTCATCTATTGCAATTTTCCTTAGTGATAGATAATCTATTGAGCATTGGTCGGCGACTCACTTCTTTTTAGTAATTTATCTTTCAAAGCATGATGAGTGATTTACTATTGAACAAAAATAATAAAAATATACTGGAAACATCCAAATCCAATGCAAATGGTAACTAACGTCCTCACAAATATGCTACTAGCTATACATTGAAACTTGGGACGAGTCAACCAGAGCTTAATCTGAGTCGAATTTGAAATATTTAGTGTTTATACAAAGATTTTTAGTACTCAAGTTGAACTTCGACAAAAAAAATCTCAGCTTGATTTGAATCCAAAAAGTACTCTGGGCTTTGTAAAACCCAAACCAAATTATACAACACTTACTATTGGATTCTGACTCAACCCTAGTTGAAGCCAAATTATTAGCTCGAGTTGTGTAACCCGATGAATTAGAACAAATTTAAACTCAATGAATAAAGATGAGAAACAAAACTGCATTGCAACTAGAATTAATCATAGAATGCCTAGCACTCAGGTTTAATTCGGGTTTTTGTTGGAATCGATTTAACGATACTACAACTTGGTTGAGCCTAGACTAATCTCTCGACCCACCCAATCTAACTTGAGTTACGTCCCTGAACAAATCTCCAATAATGCCACAAAGCTTAGAACCAAAGATTTTTTAAGAAAAATCCAATTAAAAAGTGCAAGAGAGACTTGTCTTCAATGAAATAGGTATTCTTCATTAAGTGACCAACCCCATGTGTATGTTTCTTCAATGAGGCAATTGTCCACCAGCGGTCATTGTACTAGATCCCACCATGTTTCACTTACTGTTTCATTTGTGTGTGGTCACACTTACATGTGGGTTCACATGGCCTTCGTTGGGTCAAATACTCAGTGGGTCGAAGACCCAAGTGTGTGGTGGACCGCAAAATGGGGAGATGCATTTAGGGCATGTGTGCCCTAACTAACACTACCATCATTGCCAATTGGCTTTTATGAAGATGCAAAAGGACATAGCCCTATTGATCAAATTTACTTTCCCAAATGAAAAGTTAGAGATTCAATTCTTCTCGAGACAAGCATAAATATATTTTTACTCCTCTTTAGTTGTTATATTCGAGTGTTTTATTAACAACTCAGTGCACGAGACTCTCGTCACTTTGAAATTTAGATAGACTTAAATATACGTAATCTTATCCATCTTGCAAAAAAGTTATTTTTCACAGCTCAAATATTTGACGTCTAAGTCACTATAAAGCAACCACGCTCTCTAAAATGAATTTTGGCTTCTCTCTGCATGCGTTTTCTCTACTCATTGAGCAGATTGATATTAAATACTATCCCCTTTAGGTGGTTGCTCCTTTTCTTTTAGTGTAAATCTATTGGATTGTAGTACCGATAAGCAAGTGAGCTAAACAAATGCAAAGCAATAAATGCTTTTTGTGATGGATGGTTATGCAGACATGGATTGCCATGCTGCTCAAGATACAATTTTAGTGAGCATTGAAAGAGATGAATTGTCAACGAATTTTTGAATTGTTCCTCCCAACACAAGGCATTAAACTGGGAAAATAGCTCAAATCAGCTCTAGCTATTGAAAGAAGACTCCACTTTATGGGATGCCTCATTTGAAAAGTAGATAAGAGAACGCTAACAGTAAAGCTGAAAGCATATAAAAGAGGGGAACTCTAGGAACTAAGTAAGTAATTCCTCTTAGTTTAATTTTAGTTAATCCTTTTTTGTTTTTACTGACTTAATCATCAGAGAGTCGATCCCCTGAACTTATTTATATTTCGACTTCGTTGCAGGAGCACGATAGAAATCACCGAGTCATCAAACAATCCATTGGTACTACTTTTGGGATCAATAGAAAGTAATACTTTCTGAGTCCATACAAACCCGATTATTAAAGACAGAATTCAACATCCATTGTTGAACCTAATTATCTTTATTTTTTTTTTTTTTTTTTTTTGGTTGAAAACAAAAATCAGCTCGAGGAAATGGTGTCCACGAAAAGTGTTTACGAACCTAATGAGGTGATTGGGCTCAACACAATATTAAAAGCCCATGAGACTGTTGTGTCCACAAAAATTGGATATGATCCTGAAAATGTGAGTGAGCTCAACACAATAATAAAGCCCAAATAGCCCATTCCAGAAATCGTATTGGGGTTTTCTGCCTAAACCATATTCTCAACTCGATTCGGAAGCACCAGTTAGGGTTTTGTGGTTGTGTAGAAGAGCTTGGTACTACAAACATGGCTGAACAGGTATGAAGATACGATCTTTACTCTCTCTCTCACTCTCTCGCTTGTCCTGTATGTTTTGTCGTTCTATGTATTGAATGTGAATGCGTCTGTGAGATTTTATGGATTTGATTATGGTTGTTTTTGATGCAGACGGAAAAAGCATTTCTGAAGCAACCCAAAGTGTTTCTATGGTAAAATTAGAAGAAAAAAAAAAAAAAAAAAATTTGTTTCTGCGTTTTCCTTGTGTTTTTGTAGTTTTTTGATTTTATTTTTTGTGTTTTGGTGATTTTGTTTTAGCTCTAAGAAGTCTGGGAAAGGGAAGAGACCAGGAAAGGGCGGGAACCGCTACTGGAAGAGCATTGGGTTGGGATTCAAGACTCCAAGGGAAGCCATTGAAGGTCTGTGCTCTAAGTGCATATTACACAAACAAACAAACTTTCTTGCTTAATAGGTATGTACCTGCATAAACAGGTTTATTTGGTGGGCCTAAGTTACTTGATTTCGAAGAGGTATTTTCACAGATTTAACTATGGTATTGGTACTAATATTTTGATACACGTAGAAATGAGTATACGTTTATTTCTATTTTAATGGTTTTTGTGTGTGTGTGTGTGCGCGCGCGCCTGCGCTCGCTCGTGTGCATGGTCACATTCGCATTGTGCTTTGTTGTGTTTTTTCTTTGCATATCTCTGTGTTTGTGTTCTACGAAACGTGTCTGCGAGTGCACTTGCCTGTGTGCATGTGTTCCTGTGTTGTGTCTTTTTATGCGGCTCTCAACGAGTGAATATGCTCCTTCACACATTTTTAATAAATTCGTTCTGTCTAACTTTTTGCTATGACATGGGCCAGATAGCTAATTTTAGCTTGATTTTAACCACTGTGGCTGGTGGTTGTAAGAGAGCATGATGTAGGGCAGCAGTGAGCCCAAAAAACCAGAACTATTCTGAGGCTGTTTACAGTAATTATGGTTTGGATGTTGTGGGTTAGGGTTTGATGGAAAAGGGGTAGTGTTTTGTAGACTACTTTTAAGAATATAAAGATTATAATTTCAAATTTTTTTTAGAAGTTTAAAACTGGAATAATTGCCGAAAAATAGAAGAAGAAGAAGGTTTTGAACTGCATCTCACAATTTCCATCGCATAAATCTGCTGAGAAGTAGCTGAAAATATTTCTCCCCTTACATTTCTATATATAGACCTGCATGTCATCTTAGGATTAGGACTCCGAAAACCCTTAGTTTATTATGGATGAGAAAACTAATGAACACTAGAACGAGGGTTCTAAACTCTAGAACCTTCTGACCCAATAATATAATTGGACCCCGAAGATGACCCACGGGTCATAGTATAACCCATCCTAGAAATTCTGAAAATTACAAAAATACTCTTGAGCTCAACTTTAAAAAACGTAAAAAAGACAAACCAAAAGTCCCCGCAAACCAACTTTATGTTGCTCAAAAATAAGACACAACTAGGCTCAAATACAATTATGTAAGGTTCCATGTGAGTTTCTGTCTTCAAAGCGTGCCAAATTCCATAGTTTGTCTTGTCTCTGAATTTCAATTTTCTTAAACATCATACGGGCTGCACCAGGGCATGTTTGGGTTATGGTTAAATGAAATTCTTGCGACATTGAGGAACATAGCTGGAAATAATAGTCCTTAGTTGAAGATAGGGCAGTCTTTTTAATCAGGACTCCGAAGATAGACCTCCATGTCATCTTAGGATTAGGACTCGAAAGACTCTTAGTTTATTATGGATGAGGAAACTAATGTACACTAGAACGAGGGTTCTAAACTCTAGAACCTTCAGACCCAATACCATAATTAGACCCATAAGATGACCCACGGATCATAGTATAACCCATCCTAGAAATTCTGAAAATTAAAAAAATACTCTTGAGCTCAACTTTAAAAAACATAAAAAAGACAGACCAAAAGTCCCAGCAAACCAACTTTATGTTACTCAAAAATAAGACACAACTAGGCTCAAATACAATTATGCAAGGTTCCATGTGAGTTTTTGTCTTCAAAGCGTGCCAAATTCCATAGTTTGTCTTGTCTCTGAATTTCAATTTTCTTAAACATCATACGGGTTGCACCAGGGCATGTTTGGTTTATGGTTAAATGAAATTCTTGGGACATTGAGGAACATAGCTGGAAAAAATAGTCCTTAGTTGAAGATAGAGCAGTTTTTTTAATCAGCGTCGCATGTTTGGCATTAGAGGTGCATGGATATATGTTCATACTTTAGAAGGCGAAGCTTATTATAGAGTTATTGGGAAATTTTAATGTTGTATATTCTTGCAGTTGCATCTTGACTACAATTTGAATTGCAGTGTTTTTTAAATGCACTTGGTCCACTGCAAAAACAATTGAGAAAATTCAGTTTTCCTACACGGGGATCAACTTAAACATCACATGGAGAACATACACCCAATTTTATAATTTGAAGTGGCAGGACTAGGGTTATTTCTATACGTACTCTCATCATCTATTCTCTTTATTTTCCTAAATGTTAAATTCAAACTTTTAACGTCTTCTCAAAGTGTTAAATTCCAACTTATAATATCTTCTCACTTTGTTATCAATGAGGAATTGTCTTTAGGTAGCTTAATGAGGCATAAGGGTCAAAAAACGTTTTATTTTCCATAAAATGTATATCCAGAGTGATTTAACATCATCTCCTGATATTAGTGAAGCTTGCAAATTTTGGCACAAATTGAGCATTTCATTTCTCGTCAGAAGCTTCAACCAAAGCTCCATATCTGATGTCCTAAGTAGAAATTAGCTCCAAAGGAACTACCTTCGCTACGTCAAGAAATACCAAAGGCATGATCCAACTTTAGTTGTGAAATTTTTTGTCACAACTAATTTTTTTTTGATTTCATAGAGGGAATCATAACCTCTTTTGTGTTCCCTTTCTGCCTTCAGATATGAGAAGAGGCATTCAAAAATTCCTGCACACATATCCCCATGCTTCTGTGCCAAGGAAGGAGATCATATTATCATTGGCCAGTGCAGGTTACACATTCCACCCAAAGGCCTTCATAGTCATCTTTTCTGTTTAATTTCCCTGATCAAACTCTGTTTTGGCTTTGACAACATATATTTTTTTCGTCTTTTTTGTGATGCTCTCTTGCAGGCCATTGTCAATGATGGTGAGGTTCAATGTGTTGAAAGTTATACCTGCTGGATCTTCTGGTGGCGGGAAGAAGGCTTTTACAGGAATGTGAGGCTTGTCCTCCACTGCTTGTGATGAGGCTGAGTGTTATGCACACTGTGGGATTAGATTTAGCTGATTTTGCGAGGAACCCACCTTAATTTTGAACGGCATCAATATCAGTTGTTGGTTGGACTTCTGCTTTTTCTTTTACCAAAATTAAATTGAATCTTAGAGTTTCCAATTGTATAAAGGTAGTCCAGGGGTCACAGTTGCATATCGGTGATACGATTAAATTTTGTGCTACATTAATTTTTTCAGTCTGAACATAAATTTCTTTTTTTTATTTGCCTTGGCTGAAAAATAGATCTGACTTGTGTACCCATTCATTGAGTTTGCTGTTTATGTTCATTTTGGCAGTATATATTAATAATACAATGTGATTTTGGCAATTGTAGCCGTTCTGGTGGAGACTAAGCAGGATGATCTTGATTAGGCACTAGGCTATTACTGATCTTTTCCCTGTTTATTAGCCAAATTTAGAGCTCCTCAGCAAGAAGTTTGGGTGGGTAGTTAGTTCTGAACTCGTTGCATGATGAACGAACCGAAGATGCATACATTCCCTTGGGCCGTTTGATTAGTTTTACTATTCAGAATTGGATTGGTTTTTCTTTGGGAGTGGTTGGATAAGAATACAAAAAATTTGACTCAGTGATGTCATGTCAAATAAAATATTATTTTTTATAGTTTGCCCTTCATTTGAATACAACCTTTGGTTTGGGTCTAAATAATTTGTGGGCTCGGATTTGTAATTCTGTTGTGCCAAGCATGGGATTTGTGAGCCCCCAAATTTATTTTACTTAATACCAACTACATATCCCACTCAATCCGGCCAACCAAACGGCCTCTTGTACTCAATCGAGGCCCTCAGGCATCCCTGCAGCACATCCTAAACCGTCTTACCAACAACAGAGAAAAAAGCCATTGACGTGAAAGGCAAATCACATGTGGCCCCCTGCAACATGCGAATATTCTGCCCTTTCTTTCCTAATCGGACAATTTTTATTAGATTACTCCTTGTAATGAAAGAGTAATAATGTCTTGGCTGTAGTTGGTGGGTGAAGTTGGGTTTATTGGATTTTTTTTTGCGATTCTGAAATGATATTGAGCAATTAGCAAGTTATTGAGAATAATCAGTAAAAGTAGATTACGGTTCAATTCCCTTAAGTGTTCATTTTGCAAAGGGTAAACCCCCCCCCCCCTTCAAAAAAAAAAAAACAAAAACAAAAACAAAAGAAAATAAGTGCATGGTTTGAAAGGTAAAAGAAAGGATGGTCTACTATACAAGCTTGTCACCACCACAGAGTTTAAGGAGAGTCAGATATGCATCATCTATTTTTTTTTATTAGAGACAAAAAAGGTGGATGCAAAGGAAAACGTGTATTGGTTGGATCATGAGACTCCTGATTACGCCCATTATAACTCTCGAAAACGAACTTTGTTAGACTATCATAACGGTCAATCACCGAATTTTAATGTAAACTCCAAGATTCAAACCTTCAATTTATGAAAAGTTTGATCGATATTTCACTGGACCACTCTACTCATTGATAGATATACGTATTGTTACTCTTGTAAGCAGAAAAATAATTTTTATAACTTGAACCGTTAATATCTAGAGATCACAGTGAAACAATATTGCCCTTAACCTAAAATCCACCGTAACTTAATTTGAAAGGTAATTGTCATAGTTGTAAACAAGAAATATTGGGAAGTGGACCATTACTCACAAACTATTTAGTTTCAAACAGTTAAATGATGACATGAAAGCCGCTTTATAGCGCCAATTTAGTGGATTGCTGACTAAAGATAGAGACGTTTTCCTAAATAGGCGAAGATCATGGTACTTTGTATTTCCATCATCCATGAGGCACCAAACCAATTTTTCGGTCATCATTTATTTTCCTTATTAATCGTACGGGAATGTTAGTGAGTGATTTCGTGTTAAATTTGTCTCGTTTAATTTAATTCATAAATAACTCATTAATATTTAGTCTGATTCATATTAAATATGAGTCATGGCATAATCGGATCGGATCGCATATTTTCATCTTATACCAATTCAATTATCAAATGACTCTCTTAGTTAATTCCGTTAAGATTTAAATTATTAATAAAAAAGTAATATTAAATAATTATATTTTTATATTTCGTATCAAGGTGAAAGGTGAAAATAAAAATAGTGGGTCCTAATATATTGGACCACGCCATGGGGCCACCAAGGTAATTAATTCGCCATACTTTTTTGTGCTTATTAATTGGATAATTTTATGCCACGTCAGGTTCTCATCCATTGCTTTCTATCTTATGTCAAGATTTCACCTCATTCTAAGCAACTAGTGTGATTCTATTGCAGATAATGAACAAATCAAATGAGATCGAGAAAAGGGAACTCTTTTGGATTTTGGTGTCCACATGACATTCATACGCCAATAACCATGGACAAATTTAGTGTCTCAATCATTTCAAACCCTCCTTGCAATCAATCTCAATAATATAAAAAGAGTGACGTAATTCATAAATTTCTTATCAATACAGAATCTAAAAAATATTAAATTTACACATTTTTTTCTTGACATAGTAAAAGTTTAACAATATTACGTCGATTAAAGGTAATTATATGTAAAACGCTACTATGCTATTTTCACGTAGTCCCCACACTAATATTTTATCTTTTTTTGTGGCCCTAGCATTTGAATGTCTTGATAAATATTAGAGGGGGCAAAATGGTCTTGGTAATTCTCATGAAGATTTTAACTTGCACCCACCCATTCTAATCATTGTTTTCTATTAGGCTCGAGGATCATTTTTGGAGATGAATATTGTCAAAAATAGAATTTTTCAATAAAATAGAGTGAGATTTAATGAAGGGACTCTTTGATTTGAATATTGAAAATGGAATCATTGAGAAATTTTGCACAAAATATTAACTATTGACGATTTTTGGGACAAGAAATAATATCGAACTTTAGTTGGATAGGTGTCTTCTGTCTTGCATGTAATTAGAATAAAACTTATACCCTTAAGAACATAATTTTTAAAATAATAAAAGGAAAAAATAACAAAATAAATCAATTAAATATCATAAATCCATATAAAGTGGGATATTTTAAGCAGTTGAAGTTTTCCACTTATTTATTTTTTTCTATATTTGGGCAGCGATTGGCATGCGTGATATACACCTATTTTTTAGTCCATAAAAAAATATATTAGAAATTTTTGGTAACCAAGCATCTAGACTATAGTTACTGACGAATACTTTTTAAGTATTTCAAAGGTAGGTAGAGTATCAATTAGTTGAACAAATGGAGCTTTACTTGTTCAATTGCCCCAAAAAAATGAGAGGAGGAAAAAACACCAACGAAGCTCCCAGCAACTTGCCCATTTTTCACGAAGATTTTGTTATGTTCCTGATTCTGTTTGGAGTTGACTGAAATAGTTTAATTTTATAGTTTATAGAGTAAAATACGACATGTTTGTTTTGAATCTTGGCTTTTTGGACCAGTTTATGCAATAATTTTTTGGACCCAAAAAGACTTATGTATGTTGATTCAAGAAACTGATTTTATGGGATTTTCTTTCATCTTTTTAGAGTTTTTTTGTGGGTTTTACATAATTTTTTAATTTATTATATTCATAAAATATTATTAACGATAATTTTTTTTTAAAATTCATATTTTAAAAACTATTATGCATAATCTATATATACATGTAATTTTTAATTTATTTTGATACAAAAAAGCCAAAAAAGTAATAAAATTACTCCAAACTCATTTTTTCAATTTTTTAAAATGGACACCCTAAACGGTTTTGGGGGCCCTTTTAACTGTGATTATTTATGAAGCATTTTAAATCACAGTTTTTCTTCTAAAAAATTTAGCTCCAAACAGACCCACTATGTAAAAAACTAATAGTCTCATTAGGTTAATTAACGACTCAAACAAGCAAAGTAAAGACTCAATGGGTTCAATAGAAGATCAATTTTGAGACATATCCAATTTTTTTAGCATTGGTTCTAAAGTTTTGGATCTAGTTGCTTAGTAACTTTAATCTCATTAAGCGTATGTTTGGTAGGAGGGTTGAAAAATAGGAAGGATGGAAAAATAGGAGGGATAAACTTTTTATCCATAGAGGAAGGAAATATATTTTTCCTCCTTTTTGTTTGGTATGATGGATGGAAAGTTAGAGGGATGAATTTTCCATTGTTTCGTATCAGAGGAAAAATAAGAGGAAAAAAAGCATATAAAAGACTAATTTACCATTGTACCCTCACAATAAACTTACGAATAAGTTTGAGCATTTCAATTAAATATTAATTTTTAACCCAAAAATATTTAATTGCTGGTAGTTACAATAAAAATTTTAAATAACATGGTAGTAGATTTTCAAATTAAAATTTTAATATCTCAATAATATCGCTCATAAAGAAAAAAAAAACCTGTTATATGTCCACATGAAGAGAAGGTGAGCAACAACACAAGCATTTCAAGTTTGAAAACATTTGGAACATAAAAGGGGTAAATTAGTAATTAACATCTCTCCCTTCGGAGGCTGCCACTTTCCAGTCAATTTTCCGCCCAAAATTGGACAGATGTTTTTTTGGTGAGCGGGGGATGGACGGCTTTTCCATCTAATTTTCCTTTCCACTCAATTTTCTTTTGATACCAAACAGTGGAAAGTTATTCTTTCCTTCTCATTTNGGGATGGACGGCTTTTCCATCTAATTTTCCTTTCCACTCAATTTTCTTTTGATACCAAACAGTGGAAAGTTATTCTTTCCTTCTCATTTTCCACTCCCTATATTTCTTCCTCTCTATTTTCCATCAAACCAAACAAAGGGTAAGTTTCTAATCAGACTTTTTTGGGTCACAAACAATTCTTAATTGCCATGATCTAACTTGGTAGGTTCACCACACACCAAAAAGACAAAGGAAGATAAGATTAACATAAGAAACCAACCTTTGTGTTCTGTGACTTAGTGTCTTCTTCTGCAGATACCATTCAAAGCAAAGCCCAACCACTGAAAGTGAAAGGTGATATATTTTAGTGATAGATATTAGTGAATAGCTTTCTTTCCCTTTTTCTAAAAGCTAAAAGGAGAAATCTAATGTCACTCTCCACAGCCATCTTCATACAGTGAATGCCTTCTTGTTCACTCTGCTTAAGTAAATACAAAGGAGAGCCATTTTCAAAAAATCGTGGCACAATTATTACCAATAAATAATAGTGTGTCATACTATGTTACATGTTGCTTTCAAACAAACAACTCTAAAATATATAAGTGGTACCATTTGTATAGTTAGGGTAATTGGCTTTTACTTTCAATCATCGATTTATCATCCTTAAAAACTCATTTTATTAATTTCTTTTTTATGGTTTATAGTTTCCATTAGGACAAATTACTTTAACTGTTTTTTATGGGTGCTATTCCGATGGATAAACCCAAATCAAATTTAAATATTCATTATTTAGAACTGAATATTCGATATTCGAGCAGAGTTTCCATGAAAAACAAAACACGGTTTAATTCAGACAGTCTTGAGTGATGGTGTAAGGTTTTTCGATATGTAGCTCAAACTCAGTTCGATCATGAAATTTAACACGACTTGAATTCAATTTTAGTTTCAATTATATAACTCCGCTTCACCTTGATTTAAAGAATTCATTTTGAGTTGTATTTCGAGCTGAAAATTTCAAATTTTATTCAAATTGGAATTAATTGCGATTAAAATAATTTATAACTTGAGTTGAATCGGAATTAGTTTTTTTATTTGACACCAAAAATTCAAGGAGTAAAAAAACACAAGTAACGAGAGTGAATTCAACTACCTAGGCTAACCTAAAATAACAACTTCTAATTTTATGGATAACTCAAGTGGTAATAGAAATAAATTATTAATTTATTTGTTTTAAGTTTAAATTTTTTATGAATATCTTAATTCGTACATAGATGGTCTGCACTGGAACGACGGAAAGAGAATGAACCGAAATATACGAAAATTGAATCTAACACTCTTAATCGTTAAACTTAAAAAAACAACCTGCAGTAATACTTTATTCTTTTAATTGACTAAAACATATAATTATAGTTCGTAGCTAATGGAAAAGCAATAAGAAATTGTAGAATAAAGACCAAACCTCTCCAACTATGAGAATAGTTAGAAAAATAAAACAAAAGTACTTTTGAGTTAAAAAAAAAAAAAATTGTAGCCATTGGCCATTATGATATGAGCCGACAAATTGATAAATATCGCATCTGACCTTTTGGAAACATCAGCTCTCAGCCACGCTTTCATAGAAAAATCTGGAACTCAACCAGAGCGTCTCTCTCTCTCTCTCTCTCTCTCTCATTCACACACAATATTTCCAAAACACACTATAAAAACCACTGAACACAGAGTCAGCCTTCGAAAACCAGATCAACATATTCTCGGAATCTCCTCTCTAAAATCAAAATTATAAACCCTACAAGTTGCATAGAAAGTGAGACCCTTTCATTATAGGAAATGTGTGTGCAAGACGCAGAACAAGTCAGTGAGGGAATGGAAAATCAAGAGGCTTGGGCTTTGCATTCTGAATTATCATCTACCCAGATGGAGAGTTGTGACAGGAACACTGCTTGTGATCCTGTTGGTCTGGGAAATTCATTTCCGGTAAGAACCCATTTACTGTAAGAGTTTTAATTCATTGATGGCTTATAATTACTTCTATATTTTATGGTATATGGTAAAGATCTCAGCTTTTGAATCAGTCCTGGGTGCACCAAGCAAGGATGTAGCTTTTGAAGCTTTGATTTCTGTTCTTATTTTTGGGTCAACTGGTGTTATTAATTTATTTAGCTGTGAGCCTGTGATTTTATTTAAGTTGTTTGGATTTGGTATTTTTCCTAGTTGATGGGTTTTGCAATTATTTTGGCCCTGCTATAAATGAAATTGAGTTTGGTACTTCTTTATTTTGCTTTTGTTTAATTTTTTTTTAAATGTTCTGTAGATGTTTTGTGATCTGTTTTTATAGTTTCTTCTCTGTTCTCTGTTCTGACATCTGGGTAGTGATACTTATTTCTTCAACTGTAATTGAGGTTTTTGTAATTTTGCGGTTAGATAGAGGGAAATGTTTAATTTTTCCTGCTGCTTCTGATCATTCACTTAATCCAGGGAGATTAAGTGAATGATTGATTCTTTTAGTTTTGGCAAGAATCTGTAGTTTTTTTCTGAGGCTGTGTATCCTTTTTCTTCTAGCTCCTTAGCCTTGAAAACTTGAGTTGTCATCATAAAAGAAAAATCAAATTGTTGAGCCTCATTTGGGATTGGGTAATCAGATTATAGAAGTCATGAATACCGAATCAGTGTTGTTGCTTAGGGAAATATGAGTTTCAAAATGATGGGATTGACTTAGTGTTATGTGTTTGTATACCTTTTCCTTAAACTTGAGGGATGCATTTGTTTTATTTTGTTCATTTTCACAAATTCTCTAGAGAAGTAGCTTTGGGAAGTCCCTATCTCATAGATGACCTGCCTCATCTATCTAGATGGACAGTTTTCTTTTGTTTCCATGTTTATTATTGCAGTATAGGAGTGATTTGCTTAACCACGTAGATTATAGTGTGGACTGCAGTATTTGTCAATCTGGTTTAAAGTGTCGGTCAATACTGATATGACTCAGCCAAGTCATAGTCGACTAACACCTTTCGTTGCGATACCATTCAACATTCCGTATAAACCACAAGTCTCGTGAGCCTCGAGCAAGTTGTTTGGGACATATATGAGTTCAACCCAAATTGTCCGAATCATCATAAATGAATCATTCCATAGCATTACACGGTACCACAATATGGACTAAATGCTTAATCATGTTTAACTTGTTCTTCTATCTGGCATTTCGTGCTTATGAGAGACCATTCTCCAACACCATCATTGATGCATGCCAATGCTCTCCAAATTGATGGCCAATATGAAATTTCAAGCCATATCTATCTTAACATTGTTTCTGAGGTTATGTATTGTCAATAGGAAGGAAATATTCAATATTTGCGATTACAAGGATTTGATTGAAGGCTTTGTGTTCGCTGTCAACAATGCTAAATATGGGGTCTCTGGATTGAGAAGTCACAAAGAGATAGGACTTTAAATAGAAATATGCCAAGTTCGTTTAAATATATCTATTTGGAAGGAACTTAAATTTGTAATTTGGTATAAAAATGCAATTATTTGGGTCTAGCAGTGATATCCTATGGATATTTTAAATTAGGTGCACTTTGTTTCTTTTTGTTGTATGGAGATGTAAGTCCTTCCTTTATAGATATGTGTCACATGCTAGTATGTTAACAAACTTGGTGATTTTGTAGAGCATTCTTTGAGTTTTTCACATCT